ACGAGCTTGATCCTGGACGACAATCCTTTCCCCGTATAGTGTTAAATCCGGCTGCAGTACACGTCTGCCTGATCGGCAGAAGTATTTGTGTACTGCAACCGTTTTTGACGGAGAAAACTTGAAACCGTTATTGTTTGCCCACTTGTCAAGTTTGTGCAGCATTTTCGAACGGCAGCATATCAAGAAGTCGTCAACGTTTAACGAGTTGTCTGTGCTATTTTGGAGGGTTTTTAAGATGGAATCTCTTTTGATTTCAAATGGGAGAGAAGGAAGGATACTCCCCTGGGGGGGGGGACACCTTCCTCCTGTTGGTGGGGATCTGAAAGAGAGGATCCGACTCGAACTTGGAAGGAACGGTTCTTTCATGAAATTGCCAAATGAAGGCAGGGAGGTGACCGCGTATGCCAAGAGCGTGCAAGTCTCTGAGAGTGCCGTACTTCCAGGTTGTGTCGAAGGCTTTTTCTAGGTCGAAAAAGATGGCCATCATGTGGCCTCCTTCGGCAAACGTCTCACGTACAAAGGTCTCCCGGCGGGCCAGTTGATCCAGAGTGGATCGGGTTTTCCGGAATACGCACTAGAGACCGCTCAGCGAGCCCGTCGTCTCCAGATACCACATGAGTTGCCTGTGGATCATAATATCTAAAAATTTGCACAGACAACTCGTTAGTGCTATTGGTCTGTAATTGGATGGGTGTGTGTGGTCTTTGTTTGGTTTGGGTAAAGGAATGACAGTGGCGAGACGCCAAGACTCCGGTAAGGAGTGCGACCACCACATGTCGTTGTTTCTGTCTAGTAGGAGTGTAAGTGTTTCTGTGGGTAAGTGTCGAAGGGTCTGGTTGTGGATGTCATCCGGACCCGGGGCTGTGTTGCCAAGGTCCGAGATGTACGATGCTAGTTCGTCTGATGTGAAGTCTGCGTTGTAGGTTTCAGTGTTGTTTGAGTGGAAGTTTAGGTTTTTGTTGTTTTCTGTTAGTTTTGATGTTTTGGAAGGTGGTGTTGTAGTTTGGTGACCCGGGCGACGACCAATCCGGTATAGTGTCTGAGCTGTTAGACATTCTCATGTGGTGAATCTTGTGCAGAGAAGCTTGGCGGTGCCCATCCCTCTCCAAGCTCTTAACCGTAGGCCGATGTCCACGAACATGATGTGGGTCGCTCCCGATCGCATACACTTGACCGTTGAGCTCAGCTTGGAACCCTTCCGCTCTGACCGTTGGCTGTTTGATGCTGCTCATCTGCCCAGTGGTGTTTGCTCTCTCCCACTCTCTTCAACATCTTCCTAGAATTAATCATGACTGACACTCTGGAACACCACAATGGAACAATCAGTATTGGAGGCAAGACAATCACTAACTTGCGTTTTGCCGATGACATCGATGGAATAGCAGGAGAAGAACAGGAGCTCGCCACACTAGTGGAGCGGCTGGACACAACCTCAGCAGCCTACGGCATGGAGATCAGGGCCGAGAAAACCAAGCTAATGACCAATAACACCAATGGCATCAACGCGGACATCAAAGTCAGGGGCGAGAAACTTGAGACCGTCAACAGCTTCAAATACCTTGGATCAATCGTCTCAGATGAAGGCCCAAGACCAGAAATTCTCTCTAGAATCGCGCAAACAACAGCTGCGCTGTCAATACGGAAGCCTATTTGGAGGGACAGAAACATCACGCACAAATAAAAAATTAGACTATGCGCTCACTGATCATCTCAATATTTTTATACGCCTGCGAGTCGTGGACACTAACAGCAGAATTAGAGAAAAAGATTCAGACCACAGAGATGAGATGTTACCGCAGACTCCTTGACATCTCGTACAAAGACCACGTTTCAATGCTGAAGTACGAAAGAGAATCACCAACGCAGTGGGGCAATATGAAGATCTGCTGATCACAGTGAAGAGACGAAAACTAAAATGGTATGGGCCTGTCACAAGATCCACAGCCAAAACAGTCCTGCAAGGAACCGTACAAGGAAAGAGAAAGAGAGGAAGGCAGAGAAGGAGATGGGAGAACAACATTACAGGGTGGACAGGAAAGACGATGGGTGACAATCTGAGGAAAGCAGAGGACAAAAATAGATGGCGAGAGCTGGTTTTCAGATGCAGTTGTGCCCCCACGGTTGCCCCAACCACGGGATAGAAGAAGAAGAAGAAGTTGTAGTTTGTTTGGGATGAGTTGTTGGAAAGAGATGTAGCTATTGTGTTTGCGATGTCTACCTGTGTTTCAGATGTGGTTCCATCCGGCCTCTGGATGTGCCGGATGGTGTCTGTGCGTCTTCCTAAAAAATATTTTTTGCGATTTTAAAAACTTGGCTGAGTGGCGTCTGGCTGTTTATTTTGGAGATGTATTTTCTAAACGATTGTCATTTGCTCTCCCTGAGGCATCTACGTGCCTCAGCTCGACCTTTTAGGTAATTAATTTTGTTTTCTGTGGTGGTGTTGTCGACTTTTTTTTTTGACATGCTGCCTTCTTTTTCTTTACCGCAGCATCTTTACTGAGAGAACCAGATCTTGTTCTTCCGGGGTTTTGTTTTTGTTTTTGGTATGCGTTTGTGGCATATTTTTAGAAGCTTTTCGTAGAATTTTTTGTAGTTGAGGTCAAAAGTGGGATTCAGAATCTGGGGAACATTCAGGGACGAACTCGTCCCAGTGTGCTCTTTTGAAGTTGAAGTGTTCTGAGATCGGGTCGTTTTGGAGGCTATTGTTTTTTTTAGAAGAATTGGGAAATGGTCTGTACGGTCATCCAGCACAGACCACTCAAAATCAGGGACTAGGTCAGGGGTACAAAAGGTGAGGTCAAGGGATGAAGTGCCAAAAGGGGATCTGTTTCTGTAAATTGTGGACCTATCATTTAGGAGGCAGATGCTATTTTGGAATAGAAAAATCTTCTGTTATTTTTCCTTTCTGGTCTGTGGGTTTGTCTCCCCAAAGGGGGCTGTGGGCAATGAAGTTAAAGTCACCTAGCAAAATAAAGGGTTTTGGAAGCTGGACCTTTAAGTCATTTAGTTGGGTTATTTTGAGGGGGTAATTTGGTGGGATATAGACTGAGCAGATCGTGATTGGTCTGCACAGGGTGACCAGTACAGCAATAGCCTGGAGAGTCGTCCTAAGATGCTCTTGTCTGTGGAGTGTGTTGTTATCAGTGTAGATGGTGGTTCCACCGGAAGCAATCTGGATCTCCGTGTAAATGTGATGATGTGCAGTAAATCCTCTTAAGTCTATGGTTGAAGCCGGGGCGAATTTTGCTTCTTGTATACAGGCCACAAGTGGGCACAGTGTGGCCTGTAGGTGTTGCAATTCTGAAATGGAAGGGCGGATTCCGCCGAGTTTGTTTTTGGAGCACAAAGGCCTCGGCTTCGGAGTAATACTCTGACTCCTCCTTGCGGGGGAGGCCGAGTGGTCTAGTGGGGGATTTGGAGGAGTGACGGACTCTGCCCTTCACGGGGTCAGTCCGGGAAGGGGTGTTGGAGATGTCCTCCTCCTTTGGTTAGAGGGGTAGGGGGATGTCTGCTGAAGGGGAAGGGGGAGGTGGAGTAGATGGAGGGGGTGGGAAGAGGGGGGAGGGGAGCGTCATTCCAAGTATAAGAGATCTGAATTGAAGGGTTTTGTGCGCCCTTGACATAAACTGCATTGAAAACAAGTACGTTTTAATTACGTTCAAGCCAAATCATCTCCATGTTTTAAATGACCCATACCATTAGATCTAATAATTTGTAACTGTTCCACTGCTGAGCGGCATGCATCCCTCTG